AGAGCCTGCTGAAGGCGGCCACGCGGCACGTGATCCAGGTCGAGAGCGCCGAGGACTGGCCGGCGGAGGAGGCCGCCGACGCCGCCCCCCAGGCGCAGGGCGCCATGGCGCTGCCCTCGGTGCCCAAGGCGCAGACGGCCTACGGCTTCGCCACGCTGGCCGAGAGCCCGCACACGCGGCGCAAGGAGTCCCTGTTCCACAGCGAGCACGGGGCCCTGGCCCAGGTGGGCTCCCCGCGCGCCGCGCGCCGGCCGGGGGGCGACGGGGCCCTCGGGAGCCCCAGCCGCTGCGTCAGCGGCGGGGAGAGCGACACGGGGTCCTCGGCCGAGTCCTCCCCCTTCGGGTCGCCCCTGCTCTCGCGCTCCGTGTCGCTGCTCAAAGGCTTCGCCCAGGACAGCCAGGCCAAGGTGAGCCAGCTCAAGCACTCGGTGGGCCGGCACAGCTCCCTCTCCGCCGACGACAGCACGCCGGACACCAGCCCCGGCGCGCGGCGCCGCCTGACCCGCAGGGCCGCCCCCGAGCCCGGCCCCGAGCCCGGCGCGCCCCGCGCGGAGCACGCGGTGAGGATGGGCCTGCGGGGCAGCGTGCGGCTGCTGGCCGAGTACGAGGCGGCCCAGGCCCGCCTGCGGGTGCGCCTGCTGGCCGCCGAGGGCCTCTACGACCGGCTCTGCGACGCGCGCAGCATCAACTGCTGCGTGGGCCTCTGCCTCGTGCCCGGGAAGCTGCAGAAACAACGCAGCACCGTCATCAAGAACAGCCGCCACCCGGTCTTCAACGAAGACTTCTTCTTCGACGGCCTGGGCCCCGCCAGCGTGCGCAAGCTGGCTCTCAGGATCAAGGTGGTCAACAAAGGCAGCAGCCTCAAGCGAGACACCCTGCTGGGGGAGAAGGAGCTGCCCCTGACCGCGCTGCTCCCCTTCTTGTGAAAGCCCCCTGCCCCCTCCTCCCCGCCTCCGTCCCCACCGAGGCCTGACCGGGAGCCGGGTGTAGACTCGGCCGGCGGTCCTGATGCTGCAGCCATGCTGGGCTGTCCTCGGTTGCCCACGGTGACCGGGATGCTGCCTTTCATGGATTCACTTTTTCCGGAGGAGGAAGAGAGGGGCCACTTTGCAGGGCTGAGTGTCCCCCTGTGCCCGAGTCCTTCGCCCCGGACCCCGGTCCACCCTCTCAGAGCCCTGGGACCTGAGCCAGGAGGCGGCCGTGCCACAGGCCTGGAGGTGGCCAGCCTGAGCTGAGCCGAATCTTCTCTGCTGCACGAGCGTCCTCCTCCCCCAGGCGGCCAGGCACCCCTCAGAGGGCAGGGCCAGGCCAGTGTCACCCCACGGGGCTGCGGGAGGCACCCCCTCCCGGGTTGGGCTGGCTCCGGGCAGCCCTCAGTTCTCCAGGCTCGGGAGGCGAGAGCCGGTCAGAGGGCGGCGGGCTCCACGTCTGAGAGCCGCTGCTGGTGAAAGTCTCGTGGAGAAGGCGGCTCGCGATGGGGGAAGTCCCCTAGCTCCTCTCCTGTCCCCCGAGCCACACAGCCCTGCTGTCAGCGCTTTCCTCCTGCCCCTTCTTTGCTTGATTTTTGGGCATGGACTTGCCTGGCTAGTCCACCGGCGCCTGCTGGGGCCCCTGCGGCCCTGCTGGGGGGTCCGGAGCCTCCCTCCCCTGGAGGGCGTTGCTCAGAAGGTGCCTAGAGAGCAGCCCCAGCCCGTGGCCCCCGCTCCTCCCCGTCCCTCCATGCTGGGGGCCGCCGCCCCGCCACCCCCTGCGCAGCATCCATGGCAGCTGGATGCCAGGGGGGGCTGCCTGGTGACTGGCGGCCGTGGCTTTTACCCCACGTGTGTAAATAAGTTTTGGTGGGGTGGGTGGGACACAGGAGTGGGATGGGGGACCCTGGCTGTGGCTTTTCATGCTGCTAACTGTTGTGTCATATGTGGTCCGTGAATGTCTTTTTGGTGGTTTCCCAGCTGGACGAGACAGAAACGATACAGTTGGAAGTAGGGGCCGGGCCAGCTCTGCTCCTCCGCCTCTCCCGGGCTGCGCGCTGGGCACCGATGGACCAGGGCAGCCCGTGGGGGCCCTGGGGTGCCCGTCCCTGCTCCAACATTGTCCCCCCTCACTCCGGGTCCCCCCCCACGGGAGGGGTGAAGGCACAGACCCTCCAGAGCGGGAGGAGCACCTTCCCCTCTGCACGTCCTGGAGAAGCACCAGATGTGCACCTGAGGCTAGGAAGGAGGCCTGTGGAGCGGGGTCCCTCCCCATGACTCCCCGGTCTCCGTCCTGGGCCTGCTCCTCTGTGCTCCCTGCCCCCCTCCCCTCTGGACCTGGGCATCACCAGGGCCAGGCCCTTGGGCCAGAGGCGGCAGAGGCCCCTGCATGGAGTTAGATGCTTGGAGCTCGCCCCCTCCCTTCTCTCTGACCCCGACCACTCCCGTCCCCGCTCTCCCTGGGGGGGGGCCCCTCATTTTACAGCCCCCGCAGTGTTTGATATCTTTGTGTTCTGAGTTGACTGGGTAAACCTTTAAGACGCTCTCCCCCAACGTGTTTGTTTATAAATGCTGTTTTTAGTGCAATAAAGGTGTTTCGAGAATGCGGGGGTGCAGAGCTGCCTGCTTTGCTGTTTAATAACAGGAGGGGAATTCTGCCTTGAATTCCGGGCAGGATGGTGTGGTCCTCTCCACCTGTTCAGGCCCGGGGGTCTGTCCTCCATGCGGTGGGGGCTGGAGGCAGGGTCTCGGGGGGTGGGGCCGTTGGGGACCCCAGGGCCTGTTATGAGGAGCGCTGCCGTTATTCAGCAGATCTGGGTGGGGGCCCGTCCTCCTGCTCCGTCCCTGTTACAACTCACAGGGCAGAGGCCGCTCTCGTCCCGTTTCACGGGCGGCAAGAGTGGTCAGTCATTCGCCCAGGGTGGCCTCGCTCACCAGAGCCAGGACTCGAGCCCGAGCCCTCCCTGTGGCTGCCAGGGGGAGAGATGCTGGGGTCTGCCCCTTCCGGGCTCTGTCCGCTTGGGGACGAAGACCGGACGTGTGGTGCCATCACCGATGGGGACCTCTCGGATGCCGTCGGCTGCCATCGTGGGGGCGCCCCCGCTGACCTGCCCTTCGTCCTCATTTGTCTGCCCCGGGCCCTGTGGTCAGACAGAATCAGAAAGCAAGTGTTGCAGCCAGGAGGCCGGCCCCTCCCCTTGTCCATGACTTGGAGACCCCCGGGGCCAGGGGGCAGCAGGGGAGCCCGCTCCAGGCCGTTCCCATCTGTGTCTGCACACAGGCTGTGCCTCCACCCCCAGCTTCTCTGCTTTCGGGCTTCAGCTGCAATGGCACCTCCTCCGAGAAGCCTTCCCGGTCCTCTCGGCCAGCCGGGGAAGGGGCCTTGTCTCTGTGCGGCCATGTCTGCTCCAGCCCTGAGTAAGAGGCGGACACGGCAGTGACCGCCCCCGGGGCTTTGGGGAGTAAGCACAGAATCATTCCGTCCAGTCTGGGGGAGATGGGTCCCCCAACATGGGCCCCCAGCCTGGCACAGGTCCCCCGACGTGGGCCCCCAGCCTGGCACGGGTCCCCCGACGTGGCCCCCCGGCCGGGCACAGCAGCACCGGCCGTGGCAGATGGGTGGATTTCGGGCGGCCAAGAGAGCAAATACACCTGAGTGTCAAGTCCCTTTGCCAACGGGCATTTATTAAGCTCCCACTATATGCTGGAGACAAGGCCTCCTCGGTGAGCCTCAGGAAAGCCCAGCCTGGAAGCCCCACGTCACCTGGTGGAGAAACCAGGAGCTGGGACGGGAGGGTCGGGACGTGGCCCTACTGTGTGCAGCTGCTGCTCCGGGGCTGTGCCCGCGGTTATCCGCTCCTGGGCCCCTGTGTGCGCATCGTCCACGGCCGGGGCAACGAGGGTGCAGACGGGTCCAGGAAGGAGTTGGCCGGAACCTGCACCACAGGACAGGAGTGCGGCCAAGGCCCGGGCGGGTTCCCCTTGACTCTGGCTCAGTGCCGGGGGCCCCTCGGACCCCACAGTGGAGCCGGGTTCCTCTGGGGTTCTGGGGTGGGCCGTGGGCGTCTTGTCCCCTGGGCGGGGCCTTGCTGTGCCCCCTCACACGCCCCGGGGCAGGTGGTCTCTCCCCACAGATCCCCTCTTCCGGGCTCATCTCCTGTGCCGACCCCTGGCCTGGCTCCTTCCTCTCCCCTTGCCCCCACGAGGCCCAGCCTCTCAGGCCGTCAGGAAGCCCCCAGGAGCCTCTGTGCGGGGTCAGGGTCCCAGGAAGCCTTCCCCCTGCTGCCGGCGCCAGAGGAGCCGCACTGACGAGGCTGTGGGTCCCAGGATGTGTTGCCAGGGCAACCGGGCCCCTTCTCCTCCTCCCCACCCGCCACGCGCTGCTGGGCAGCCTGCGTGTGTGATTACCTGTGTGTGCACCATGTCTGCGTGCATGCACACAGCCACTTCCCTCTGTGCATGCATGCAACTGCAGTGTGTGCCGTGTGCACACAAGTGTGCGTGTTAATGGAGCCACGTGCATGAGTGCAGTTGTGTGTTTGTGCACATGTGCCACAGTGCGGGTGTAAACACATGAGTGCATTATGCACAGTGTAGCTCTGTGTGTTAACAAGCGTGTGCTTGTGTGTCTGCATAGGCCGTGCACGTGTTTCTCTGTGTGCACCCATGTGCGCGCATGTAACCATGTCGCGCGTGTGTGAGTGTGGCTATGTAACATGGACCTGTGCACACTCGTGTGTGCGCGTGTGTGCCATGGCTGCCCCGTGCCTCAGGACGCCCCAGAGGACATAAGGGGACCCTGGGCTGGGGAAGGCCCCTCCCTCCACTCCCCATGCTGGTTCCCTGGTGGGAGCACTCCCCTCCCCCATGTTCCCTCACTTTGCCTTCAGGTCTCCCCCCACCGCCCTGACCTCAGGGCAGCACCCCCACGAGGTCGGACCCCCGACCTCGAGGGATATGAATATCCCTCCCTAGTGTCACACGCTGCCTTGTAATGTCTTCCTGATCAGAACCATCTGCCATTCCAGCTGCAGCCCAGTGCTCAGCCCAGGGTGCAGGAGAAGGAGGCGTCGACACTCTCTCCTTTGAGCCTGGCCGCCATCCTGAGTCTTTCTTCTCTCAGGAGGGCTGTGGGCATCCAGGGCCACCACCAGCAGAAGGCACCTGATTTGTGCAAATCATAAAATGGTGCCCCTGTCTCAGAGTGGAGTCAGCACAGGGGGCAGTAGAGTGAAGAGACGAGGAATCAGATGCCTGGTGAGCTTGTGGGCACCTGGATCCAGCCGTGCCTGAAGTCCATAACTGCACACCATGTTAGTTCAGAGGGCTAATCAAGTCCCTTCTTGGCTTAAGCCAGTTTGACTTTTTTTTCCTCCAAAACACTGACACCGCGAGTCACCATTCTGAGGAAGGAGAAGCAGCGCTGACCTGGCGGTGCCCAGTCTGACACCGGAAGGGAAGGAAGGGGAGGAAGGCAGCACCCGGAGGCCCGAGATCTGTACATCTCTCAGAGCGGGGGAAGGTGGCCCTGGAGTGAGGGAGAGAGCTTGCGTCAGCGCATTAGTCAAGACGGGTTGTGCAAAAGGAGCAGGATCCAAGAGTGGAAGGAGATGGGGGCAGCAGGGATGTCCAGAGCTGGAGGGGAGGGGCTCAGAAACCCAGCCCACCCCACCACAGCCTGGGCCCCACTTTCCCCCCGCCCCAGTCCGCCCCGCCTTCACCTCTGCCCCTGCTCCGAAACCTTGCATAGCTCGCCACGGCCCCGCACCCCGTGCGCCCCGCACTGCAGCCTGCGCATCCTGCCCGCCTCCCCTGCACCCCACATCTGTGGGGCTGGAAATGTGAACCCGGCATGCGCGGGGAGCTGCCGCAGTGGACTTCAGCCCGCCGGCGGTGTAGCCCAGCCGGTCACGTGGTCGTCTGGTGTCGGCGCCCCGCGCGGGTCACTGGCCGGGATGAGACCAGCT